GTTGCTCGAACAGCAGCTGCTGTGGTCCTATCATCCTCCATCCTCATCCTTCATCTGCTCTTCTATCATCTGAACATGTCAAAAACATCTTCTAATAGTAGTTGTAATGTGTAAAAATTATAGTCCATTCCATTATTACTTATATTTCTTACATTGCTTCCTAAAAAATGAGCAAGCAATCCTTAGTGCAAAAGCTGGGATTAGTTTTCCACTTCTTAAAGTCCCTAAAATTAGGAGACTGAGTTAACAGTTACAAGAGCATCAGTGCCCAGGAGAGATTTTCCAGGAGGTTGGGCAGATCCAGCCTTTTCCAGGTTTTGAAGGACATGACCCACAGACTGAAGCCTCCCTTCAGTAAAGCTAGCTATGTAACAACACAGTCTTTACTCTTTGCAAGAATTTTTACAACATAGCACAAAGTCTTGCTGCAGAAAGAGTTATGTTGTGATTCACTGACCAATACAAACAACATAAACAGCATGTTGGATTGGAATGAGACATTACTAAAAAAAAAAAATCCCTCAATATTTCTTAAAAACAGAACACTCAGTATTTGCTGATTAGACACTTGCAGGACTTGCGGTTACACTGTTGATTCCTTCAGAGTTTACATATCTCTAGATCTAACAATTCAGCTAAAAGGATAGCTCATAGTTCTAAGGAGCAATGGACTCAAAGTGATGGAAGTAGGAGACAGTAACTTTCTCACTCTAAATGAATATATTAAATACTGCATGGAACTCTTTACCATTGAGTTTCTCTATGTGTCACCCCGTTCCATACATTTTATTTTACTATCTAGCTTTTTGGTATCACAACAGAGCTTATATTCCCATATTGGGTGTAACAGACAGCACGGGTAAAACTCACTAAGTCCTACCCTTCCTTACATTTCATATGTATTGCAAAGTCTGAAGAGGCAATATCTCTTTTGAATGACACAGGAAGTAGATCCTTGATTGCTTTGGTAAAAGTAACTGCAGTGCTCCACCTAAATTCATTTAGATAATTATATGACTGATTTGAAATTAGCCCATTAGCTTCTGCTGTAAGAGTTCTTGTCCACCTCATCCTGCCAGCCTTTTCACATTTTTCCCTTTTCAGCAGTTACTGCATTTCAGTGGTAGCAAAAAAACAAATTTCTCTTTGGGGAATCAAGCACACTGAGGATTGTGACAGGGCAATTTATTATTTTAAAGTTGTGCCAAGCAGGGTGAACCTGATTTTCTTTAAAACATGCATCAAAAATACATTATTCTCATTATTTTATTCATGTTACATTTTTACAATTTGCAATACAGCTTTACCAGGATGCCTGCTGTTTATATTTCACAACATCACAGAATCAAAAAAAGGCTTGGATTGGAAGGGAAGATAAAAATCTGAAAGATCATCTAGTTCTAAGTCCCTTGCCATGAGCAGAGATGCCACCCAGCAGATCAGGTTGCTCAAAGCCACATCCAACCCGGCTTTGAACACTTTCAGGGATGAGGCATCCACAGCTTCTCCAGTCAACCTGTTTCAATGCTTCATCACCTGCACAGTAAAGAATTTCTTCCTAATACCTAATCTAAACCTACTCTCATTTGGTTTGAGGCCATTCCCCCTTGTCCTATCACTACACGCCCTTGTCAAAAATTCCTCACCAGCTCTCTTGCAAAGCCCCTTTTACGTACTGGAAGGTGCTGGAGCCTGCTCTCATCCAGGCTGAACAACCCCAGCTCCCCAGCTCTCTCAGCCTATCCCCATAGGAGAGGTTCTCCAGCCCTGTGACCATCTTGATGTCTCTCCATTGGACTTGCTCTAACAGATCTATGCCCATCTTATGTTGGGGACCCCTGAGCTTGATGCAGCACTCCAGGTATCTCACCATAGTAGAGAGGGAGAATCACCTCCCTCGATCCGCTCGCCACGCTGCTTTTGATGCAATTCAGAATTCATGGATCAAATATTTATCCCACCACCACCCCCTTCCAAAATACTGAAACTTATACTAGCGTGAAAATAGCGCGCTATAAGTTAAATCTCGCGTTTCCTCCCGCAGAAGCGCGTTCCCAGGGCAATGTTCCACAGGCAGGTAGCGGCGCTCGTGCCGGCGGGTCTTCCTGCGCAGCTGTTCCCCGTCCTCTCCAGGAGATGCCGCTGCGCCCCGCTGATCCCGGCTCTGCACTCTCGCGGCCGGCTGCATCCCGCGGATCCCGGTCCTGATCTCCAAAACCCGCAGGAGATTGGGAGACAATGAACACTTGTAGTCAGCGAGAGAGAGCAGGGCCTGGCGAGTGCACGGCCGCCGTGACGAGTTGCACGGGTGCTCTGCTGTACTTTGTCATGCCAGCCGGTGGATTCCTGCTCGCTGGGCAGTACGGAGAGAGGCCTTTGTGTACACAGTAAAACCGGGAAACAAAACCTGGGGCATCGACCTGGGAGATTTAGAACATCGATCCTGCTCCTACAGATGAGCTCTGAAGGTTTAAAATTACCACAGTAATCAATTGCTATTAAAATGCATTGCCGAACCAAATCCTGATATAGATACTTGAAGAGTACAGCAGCATGAGCCTCAGAAGTGCCTCGGTATTGCAGCACTGCAACCATGTTTAAATCTGAAAGCCCAAAAACATATTCTAAATCGATGTTTGCATTTCAAGGGTGTTTGCTTTTTCCACTTGTCATATTCCCCATGTTAGTAACAAAAAGATAAGAAGCACGATGCTAACTCCTGAGCCCACTGGTGGTAAACTGAGAGAAGAAGAGACTGGAACAGAGGAGAGGGCAGGATGGGAAGGCTTCATTTCCAAAATCTTTCTGATTCCTTATCATACAGAGTGGAAAGGGATCCTATGAACTTCTGCAGCGTTTTGCATATGACATGAATTTAAAGGGTATTCAAAGCATCTTTCATGCTGATTATAGCAGACAGACAGTTCCAAGTATGCTTAACACAGACATTTGAAAGACTAACGCAGCTGCTTCTGGGAATAGATACAGCTGTACCACAGTGACTTGCACTGAGACGGTGAATTGTGTTTTAAGTTAAAGTATGGGCAAGTTTACCTTTTTCCAGAGATGATGTGAATAATTAAAATGAAATTTAAAAAAAAAAAGCAATATTCCTTCACAGCGCATTTATTAATGAAGTGCAAAACTGAAGCGAAATAAGTCAGGCTATCATCACGGAATTCAGTAGGAACAGCAATAGTTTTCAGCAATATGTTTAAGCATAATATCACAACCAGCCAGGCATACTGCACTTCAGGGTTAAAGTTTTCCTCATCAAGTAAATAATTTGCTAGCAAAACAGAAAACAGCTGCCAAACAGATAACAGGCAATGCTCCAGGTTGGTTTTATTATAATTTCAGTCAGTCAAACATCCAGAATAGCATTTTTAAATTATTTCTGGAGGGCAGTTTAACAGGAGAAGAAGCCAATAAAGTAGTATAACTCTCATTTCTCACAATACTCAATTAAATGCAATAATGTAAGTTATCTTTAACTTTTGAAAATTTCCTTACTTTGCAATGTAGCTTTTATGGGTTTAAAATAAGATAGCAAACACAGAGCTTCAATTATAGATATGTCTGGTAATCCTGCTCTGCTATGAAGTCAATAAAGAATTTCTGATAAGTATCGAAATCTAATAATTTAATAATTATCTTTCTTCATTATTCCATTAGGTACCAAAAATCCCATTTGAACTGACTTGCCATTTTCATGGTAATGGAACATGTAAGGACAAGAAATAGAACTCTAAACAAGAATAGCCAAACAAGAAGGAATAAAAGTATCTTGTTTGATTATTTCTAGCATTAGGGCAACTATTGTTGCACTAATAAATGAAATCAACAATTTTCACCATCAGTTGCCACAACACATTCTGCTTTACATTACCAAGCCCAGCTAGAGGGATTTTCTAGCAAACACACTAAAATTTAGAAATGCTTTTTCCTTTGCACTGCACTTTTCTCTTAGCTATTTATCCTTGCAGGCATTATTTGCCCTGCGATCAGAGAGTAGCAAGAAGATTACAAGCAAGAGGTTGTGGAGGCTTCTTCTCTGGAGATACTCAAAACCCACCTGGATGTCATCCTGTGCCACCGGTTCTAGGTGAATCTGATTTAGCAGGAGGGGCTGGTCTAGATGATCTCCAGATGTTACTTCCATTCCCAACCATTTTGTGATTCCATAATTACACCACAGAGAGCCTTAGAGGTCACTAGTCCTGCTCTGCAGACACATGCAGTAGATGGGATCATGGGTGCAAGCTGCTAAGCACCAGAAGATGAAGATTATTGGGACAATGTGATAGCATTCGGGATTTGAAATTGTCTTTACCATTCTACTGGGGAAAAATAAATAACTCTACCCTCCTCTGGAAGCTGTTAAACATGAGGTTTCACTGCAAGTCTCCCTGCAGTCTTGTGTCTGACTCCCTGACACGCTGGAACAGGCTCTGCTGTGTTTGTAGGTCACAAAGATTGCAGACTCAGCGCTTCAGGCTCACTCTTTTTGGGCAGGGGTGGTTATGGTTATGGTTCCCTCCTTCCACCAATAACATGGTTAACCACATCCAAATTTCACCTATGCACAAATTCTGCAACAATGTCGAATGCACTTGATAATTTTACAGTTTCTCTAACCTGAAATCTTATCCATTCCTGCTGTCAAGCTAATTAAATCTCTTCCCTCAGTAACTCTGTATTTCAATTAGAAGAAATACAGTTTGTATTTATTGACGTGTTCCTTCGAAAAACAGAATTATTAAACTTCCATTTAAATTAAAAAATCTTTCATATTATTTTTGTACTCATTATTTATAACCATAAACAGCATAATATTGCAATAATCCGAGGTGCATTAAAATTTTGCTTTTACCAGTCATGCATGAAAGCTGTGCATGTGTTGAAGCCACTCAAGGCCTCAGCACTATAAATAGTGCTCTATTGTTAGTGGATAAAAGATGAAACAAGTCTCCCAGCACTGGAGCACAGGACACTATTAATATGTTAAGCTCTGCCTGTTCTAAAAGTGAAAGGCGACACCCACTGATAGACTAGTCTGTGGGTGAGACATACGGCTGGGAAGGGCTCACTCTGACTCTGTAGCTTCCCAAGGCAGCAGGAGTAGCAGCTGATCTTTCTGCCTCAGCCATGGCAGAACCTGTTATAAGACACTGGGTGGAAACTCCTGTACGCTACCAGGACCAGTTTGCTGCCCAAGAGCTGGAAACACACAAACTGAACCACCTTTTATATGCTTTGCCGGGCCCTGCTACAGCAGCACTGAGCAACCAAAGATGCACCACAGAAAGCACAAGTGGGGCAGGAGAGAGTGGCCAGGAGGAGGAAAACACACGCTTCCAGGTCTTGCTGGATGTTGTGCAGTTCCGTCCCGAAGATATCATTATCCAGACTTTCGAAGGCTGGCTCCTGATTAAAGCTCAACACGGACCCAGGATGGATGAACACGGTTTCATATCCAGAAGCTTTACCAGACAGTACAAATTACCTGACAGGGTGGAGAACAAAGACTTGTCTGCACTTTTCTGCCATGATGGCATTTTGGTTGTTGAAATGAAGAACTCTGTGGGAAAGAATTAGAACCTTGTCTGTAGTTATTGGTGAGATAAAATCATTCTTAATTAATATAACAAAGTAATATCATTCATGCAACACTGTAGAGTGTGGTAAGCATGTGGCTGTATTTATATTACAGTAAAGGAAAGCCTTTGCATATGTTTTTCGGTATGCTGAGTTTATTGTTTAATGTGAATGTTAGACTGCTTGCCTCCAGCTACCTATATGTTGGAAAGCCAGGCTGTTTGAAGAGTAGCAAACTTAGGCTAGTCGCAGCAGGAGAAAAAAAAATCTAATTTATAATACATTAAAAATAAAGTATATTTTTGAATTAAGTAGGAGGAGGTGTATTTCTAAAGAAATAAGCATTTGTCATACATAGTCATAAAGATTAAAGAAGCAATAGACAAGTTGTAAGTTAGTTTTGAGTTGTGGGCAACAGACAAGTTATGGAAATTTAATTTATCTACCAAAAAATGAGATTTCTAATTTTTGAAATCAAATTCTTCTCTTTGGAAAAGGATAAGAACTGAAAAATACTATCAAGAAAAAATCTCTATTTCCACAGTTCAAGCTTGTTTACCAAAATAAGTCTTGAGAGACTATTTTTTGGAAGTGTATTGCATATTGGAAACTATAAGAAAAAAGAATAATCACTGACTATATTTGCTTGAAAACACAGTAAGTATAAATTATACTTTCTGTCAAAGACAAATTAATTTAAAAGAAAACATTTAAAGACATTTTAGAAAATTTGTTTTGTTTAACATTTTCCACTATTTTATCAACTGAAGAAAAAAATTTTTGCTCAAAAGGATCAAATTCTTCATTGTGAAACTTGGTAATAAAAAGACATTGCTCTTACACAAATGCCTTTATTCTTATGCATTTTAGGCAGTCTTGTTGTTCAGTCAGATGAGTATTTTATTCTTCATGTTGCTTGACAATTTAGGCTGAAATTCCACAACTCTCTCTTCAAGAGCAAATTTTTCTGCCTATGGATAGTCCCACTCTCTCTGCAGGAACATGGGCTCTACATGAATCTAATCGTAAGTGAAGGGGTTCCTTTTACAGACACAGGTTTAGTTTCTGTTCCAGTGTCTCACATTTCATGAGAGTGGCAGAGATGAAAAAATATCCACCCACTATATCTAGTATCTGGTCTTCTCAACATTAAAAAGAAATAATGCTGTGAGTTTGTAAATACTCACACATTTGAGGGGAACTGCAACTGCAAGTTGAACTGCCTCCTTTTATGTCTACTGGAGATAGGTATGACTGCTGTGCTATGAATAGTAAAGGAATGTGGAATGGAAAGTGCCAAGTTAAATACAGACTCTATCATATCCATCTGCTGTTTGGACAAATCAAAAACATATTCAAATGAAACTGACTACAAATACAATTTTAATAATACAAGAAAAATCTGATTAACAAAGCCCAGGCTCTTGCTAGCTGGAGCCAAAGAGTTCCTTAGTTTAAACGAAAGTTCTAAGCTTGTAAGTTTGCACATGTCCATTTATTAGAGTTACTACATCATGGCGGTGCCTCGGGCCACCCTCGCCACACCGGGCAGGGGCTCCTGGCGGTCGCCTCGGAGGAGGAGAGAGGAGGTAATTCAGAGTGCACAGAGGTTTGCCAGTCCAATTTGGGGGGGGGGGGGGGGGGG